CCAGTCCTTGTATGCATAAATAAATAAAAATAAATCTTTAGGGGCCTCCCTAGTGGCGCAGGGATTAAAGACAGCACTTTCAAGTTATTGCCAGACACTGCAGCATGAGTTTGAGCCCCAGTCAGCCAGGGAGGTCACCCACAGGACGCAGCAGACCTCTCCTATCTGCCCCACTGCTCCCCTCAGTAGTGTGTTTCAGTCACTCTGCCTGTTCTGCTTCCCACTCTGTCTCTGGTGAATCCTCTCACCCCCTGCACCTCTGGCCTGTACCCCAGCTCTTGTATGCATAAATAAATATTTTTAAAATCTTTTAAAAAAGAAAATTAGGGTTCCTTGTCCCAGTGACTAGGATATCCTCTGAAAAGAATCTTATTAGTAAGGACCTTACTTATTAGTAAGGACAACTTAGAAGCTAGACTTCAAAAATACTTAACTGCTTGCTTCCTTGTGTGTAAAACCAGCAATACCTACACCTTCCTCCCAGGATATTCTTGGGCATATTAGATAAAACAAGTAAAGTATTTACAGTACCAGGCACATGGGAAACTATAAAATAATATAGCTACCATTATTATTGTTGTTACTGTCCATGATCAAGTCTAACTTAATGAATTTGGGCTTTTCTCCAGTCTCTCTTTGGGGTCTGGTTTTTGACATCAGTATCTTCACTGCCTAATAACCTAAATAGATCATGTCTTGAACTCATAATTTAGTTTAATCAAGTGTTAACTGCTAATATAAGCAAGGCACAGGACAAGTTATATTGGGGCAAAGAAGTTAAGCATACTACACTTGATGAGCCTGGTGTGTAGGGGAGGATAAAGTACATATTATACACAGATAGCTATTACATAGAAAGTGTGGAGAATACAATGAAGAAGAGGTAAAGTGCTAGCTGGACAGGAGAAAAGGCTACCTGGGTGGGAATAGCATATTTAAGATTGAAGTCATGACTGCCTAAGACAAAGATATTCATTTCAGACAAAAGTTAAAAAAAAAAAAGCATTTCTCTACAAAATTCTGAGCTAAAAATATGATACTTTGCACCCTAGGTGGGAGATTTACGAGGCAATGGACATTAATCTTGTTTCACTTTGGTCAATTAACCTTTTTTTTTTGGCCTCATAACAATTTATGATGCACCACAAGGAATCAGAAAATAGAACTAATCTTTCATAATTGTTCCTTTGCCTCTTTGGCGTCTTCCTCCAATTTTCACACAAGTACATTAAATATAATTCAAGTAAAGGATCAAATGATTGCTTTGAGTTTAAAAGTCTATTTTACTTAAAAGCCTTAAATTATTTTAAGCAGCAGATTTAAGGTAACTTGTCTGATGAATTAAGAATTTCTTCCATCTGTACCTACATTTCTCATATCCAAATTTATTCACATATGTTATTCCCAATTATTTAAAAAATATTCTGTTCAGGTCTTTATTTGCATACAGCCCCAAGATTCTAATTATAAGTGGAGTTCCAATGTGTCATTGGTACATCTTTCAGCAGCACTTCTGTCGAACAGTAATTCCTTCATAAGCACACACACCAGGAAGACAGACACAGACTCATTTACAGTAAGAAAGTAACCAGCACTAGCAACCAGGGGTTGTTGCTGATATTTTTCCAGTGTTACCAAGAGTGAAGGCTGAAAGTTTATGTGTTTCCCACAGGGTAGATAGAGTCTAGATAAATCAATATAAATAGTAGTCAAACATAATTGACATTTCCATGTACTATACAAGCTAGTCCCTTTAAGACAGGAAATAGTTATAGTCCACCTAATAACTAAAAACCTTCAGGAAAAGGCTTTATTAACAGTCATTGTTAATTCTCAAAAGGTGACATGGATCTCTGAAATTTCCTGATTAATTATGGTTTTTGTTTTTAAGGAAATAGAGTATAAAATTTCTTTGCAATAACGTGGAATCTCTGTTTTAGCTTATGTCTCCCTAAGCATTGAAAAATAATTTACCTTTTAAAGGTAGAATAATGCATGCAACTTGCCCTCTGATATTTTCAGTTTAATTTGGAGAGGGAGATTACTAAAGTTTACTTGGTCTTAGTAAGGAATATATGAATTTTCCATTGCAATAATTACAAAGATCCTACTATGACTATTGTTCTGGGCTGCCCATCTTGCTCTCCAGGCCTGGTTGGGAGGAATGCAAATCACCTGAAAATAGCGGGTACGGAGCAGGGTATAGAAATGACAGGTCTTTGAGTTGGCTCCCATTAGAGAATCAGTGGTGGTGATTTCGGTGGAGTGTGGAACAACTGAATTATGTTAAAGTAGGTTTTAAATTATATATGAGAAGAAATGTATGTGTGTATCACTATAGGTTAGAAGGTAGGACTGTTATCAGCTTTTTTTTTTTTAATTCTGTTGCTGTGCAATGTTTCTCTTACATGCACACATACTTTCAATTTCTAATATAACTTCCCCCACTTGTGGGACACATGACCTTGGCCTAAGCTATCAGATAAGCTTTTCCTTTTGGCTAGAGGCTCTCCAAACACAGGCAATGGGATTCATTCATGGTAAATCTTTGGATTTACTAACTGGCTAATAGGGAAATGTCTTGTCCCAGACTCATCAGCCAGGAAAATGTATATTAGTAATGGCTGGTGGCCATCTTCCCCAGTCCTAAAGACGTGTATGTAGTAGAAGAGGGTGAGAATGACACCTTGAGAAGCAGAGCCAAGAGATGGAGAGAGACCAGATGGCTTCACTGATGTTTTTGTATCCAGCTGCTCATGAAACCAGATTTACCCTGGACTTCTCAGTTACATGAACCAATAAATCCTCTTTGTACTTAAGATAGTTTGAGAGAGGTTTTCACTGTCACACTGGGAAAACACCTAGCTGAATGCATATTGAGTTTAGATAAGGTCATCTTTCTCCCTAGCTTTTTGGTTTAATTCTTTTTTTTTTTTTTTTTTTTTTTTTTTGTTTGGTTTTTTTTTTTTAATAAATTTTATTGTTATATTCCCCATACAATTGCAGCCCCCCATTCTGACCCAATCCTCCCTCCCACCCCCGCCCCCCTAAAAGTGTCTCTGGTTCATAGTTTTTTGTTGATTTTGATTTTCACTTTCTTATAGTTATTCATTTTCCTGGTCCCTTATTTAAGTTTTCTAGATTCCTGCTATGAGTGAGACCATCCGGTATTTTTCTTTTTCTTTTTGGCTTATTTCGCTGAGCATGATCCCTTCCAGCGCCATCCATGTTGCTGCAAATTGCATGTGTTTATCTTTTTTGAATGCTGAGTAATATTCCATGGTATATATGTACCACATCTTCTTGATCCAGTCATCTACTTTTGGGCATTTGGTTGTTTCCAAAGCTTAGCTATTGTAAACAGTGCTGCTATAAACATAGGGTGCAGGTGTTCTTTGGAATTGATGTTTCTGTGTCCTTTGGGTAAATACCTAGGAGTGGAATTGCTGGATCATATGGAAGCTCTATGTTTAGTAGGTCCAGAAATCTCCATACAGCTTTCCACAGTGGTTGGACCAGTTTGCACTCCCACCAACAGTGCAGAAGAGTTCCTTTTTCTCCACACCCTCGCCAACATTTGTTGTTGCTAGTTTTTTTAATATGTGCCATTCTCACTGGTGTAAGATGGTATCTCATGGTAGTTTTGATTTGCATTTCCCTGATGACAAGTGATGTTGAACATTTTTTCATATGCCTGTTGGCCATTTGCATTTCCTCTTCAGAGAAGTTTCTTTTAAGCTCTTCTGCCCATTTTTTGACTGGATTATTTTCTTTGTTGTTGTTGAGTCTCATCAGCTCTTTGCAGATTTTTGTGATCAGTCCTTTATCATTAGTGTTGGGTGCAAAAATGTTCTCCCAGTTGGTGGGGTTTCTCTTTGTTTTTGTTATTGTCTCTTTTGCTGTGCAAAAGCTCTTTAATTTGATGTAGTCCCAGCTGTTTATCTTTGCCTTCACTATCACTGCTTTGGGTGATGGTTTAATTCTTAAACAGTGCACTTCCTCTAAGCATAAATATGTGTTGATTCTTTTTAATTATTATTTAAATATTTAAACTTTTAATTTATTCTCTGAATAACTTCATTTTTTAAAATAATGCACAATAAATTTATAGAGCAAATTACATAAATTAACTTCTAAAAGGTAGATTCAATCATTTACAATTTTTTTTATTGCAGTAACATTGGTTTACAACACTGTATGTGATGTAGAGGTAGAGGATCACACCCTCAAGGTATATGTTACCCAACACCAAGGCACCCTAGTCCTCCACCATAGTCCATTGTGCTACCTCCCCATAGATTCAATTTTTTTTTTTTAAAAAAAAAAACAAGCTCTGGCCAGTTTTATTAAAGAAAAATTTTGCATGATTTACTTTTCACCAGTCTGTTCTGGCATGCTTCTAATGATATCAGAATCACCTGGGTCAATGATAGCCAGTGTGCATACTCTGTAGTATTTTCCACACGCTGTGCCCAATTCAATATTATTACCACTGTAGTGATGGACACCAGTTTTGGCCAACATGGCGTAGTACTTATTTCAGATTTCCTCAAGGCTGGGCAGTTGTTGGCGAGAATGACCAGTTTAGCTTTGCCTTGTCTGATCATTTTCAGAGTCTGCTTATACCCCAGCACATACTTTCCACTTTTCATAACAAGTTGGAGCCTAGAGTTGATCGACTCCAGAGACTTTTTCGTCTTCTTTGCGGCCACCATCTTCCTGCCTTAGGTGCGGGATGGCCCCCAACCAAGAACAGCCGCCAAGATGGCCGGGGAGAGAGCAAAAAAAAAGCATAGATTCAATTATTAACACACATTTTATAAATGAGGAAACTGAGTGTAGGGTAAGGAAAAACATCAGGTTTTCTGCCCTCCCGCCATCAGGATAGATGACGAAACTCTGTGGTCCTGAATGCATGCCTGATGGCGGGCACCTGGAGTAGGGTGTGGGCATAGGTAGATGGGATTCACCTGGGCTAAGACTGGGCTTTTTTTTTTAAGGGCGGTGTCGCGGGGACGCCAGTAGAAGCCGAAAGAGAAGCCGAGAGAGAAGGCCGGAGAGCCCAGATAGAGTGAAGACTTGCTGGGGGCTGGGAAGCCTGCCAGCCTACCAACCCTCCAGCGCCCCTGCATGCTGCGTACCTGGTAATCTAAACAAAAAGACCTGCAAAAAGCCACTAAGGACTCTGACTCCTCCTTCACCCGGTCTGCATGGGATCAGAAAACCTGCACTGTGGTCTTCCTGCCTTTACACTGAGGCACAGAAAATCTAAGTTGGTGAAGATTATACAGCTAGTTAGGGGTTGAGCCAGGCTTGAAATCTCGGCAGACGGTTTCCAATGCCTGTGTATTTAACCACTACTCTGTACTGTTTTAAAGTAATGGCCTTTATGCAGAAGCATAGTAATAATGGTGACAATTGCAGGTAGGCTAGTAGAAGATATACTTGGGTTCATTTGAGGTGATTTGCTACACTTTTCCCAGGAACTCTTCTATCCCTGGTGTAGGATAAGGAAAAATGTCAGGCTTTTCTGCCCTCCTGCCATCAGGATAGATGATGGATCCTTGTCCTGAATGCATGCCTGATGGCGGGCACCTGGAATAGGTTGTGGGCATAGGGAGATGGGATTCACTTGGGCTAAGACTGTGCTTTTTTAAGAGCCGGCGTCATGGGGATGCCAGTAGAAGCCGAGCAGAAACCGAGAGAAGGCCGGAGAGTCCATAGAGTGAAGACCTGCTGGGGGCTGGGAGGCCAGCCAGCCTCCCAGCCCCCCAGCACCCCTGCCTGCTGTGTACCAGGTAAATCCCAGTAAAAGACCTGCAAAAACCCACTGAAGACTCTGACTCCTCCTTTACCTGGTCTGCATGGGATCCTAGAAAACCTGCACTGTGTTCCATTCCTGCCCTTTACACCTGGCCAACACTGATTTCTCTTCTTTCTGAACTTCTACTCAATTTAAAATCAGTATGACACAATTTGGCACCTGATTCTTTCTCCTTTCATTCGGTTAAGTCCTGGCTGTATCAGAAATTGACTGAGAACTCAAGTGCAATTTTTCTTCTCCCTTTGCTAGTGGCACCTAGTGTGGTGCACTATTAAGCTTTTTGCTGACCAGATTTGGAAATGCTAAGTTGAATTTAGGAACTGTTTACTTGTGAATTTTAGATTCACTTAGGACTGAATTCACGTACTTGACATTACGTTTTATCAGTTCCTACCCTTTTGCAATTTTAGATGTTTAACCAGATATTTTCTTCTTTCAGCCACATCAGATATCTTTTATGATCTGCACTACTCAATGCCTGCATTTATTTTGCTATTCAAATTGTTGTGGGAACTTTCCCTTTCTGCAGCTGAGAGCAGTTCTGGTAAGATTTTCCTTTTGAGAAAGCTTCCAGCAAGCTCTTTTCCTCTTTGACTTTTGTTTGCTTCCTAGAAATGCCCATGCTGGGGCAAAATTACCTTATCCAGATGCCAGTGATTGAAAAGACATTCTAATTATCTGTTGATGGTAAATCATAACTTGTTTGGAAGCCCATTTGTTGAGCTTGTGTATGTTCACAGGAAAGAGCGATTTACCTAGGACCGCTAAAATAAGCTCGGTATTTGGAAAAGCTGTAGGCTTGATTGCATTGAATTATAAATTGAATCTTTACTAACTCAACCTCTGGGAGGTTTTCAGTGATTGTTTTATTCAATTTTACTGACTCCACTGCCCATAGCAACTCTGGCAATGATTCCCCTAGCGGCACCAAGAGACTGGCCAGCCCTGCTGCAGAAATTCATGACAGATGCATTTGCCTGCAGAGTTTGGAAAGACCTAAGGTCTTTGGAGATTAAAAATGTGTTTTTCCTTGTCTTAACTGGCAGTATGAGCCTCAGGCATTTCAAAGTGCAAGTCATTAGTGTCCACAGGGGTGATGTTAATATGTCTGTGTTTCAGTCTCAGGACATTTTCCAGTTGCTTCTGCCACAACAATCTCCTCCATCTCAGTGCCTCTGATGCCCCTTGTGAATTCAAGAAGCACTGCAGTGCCAGCAAGACTTCATAAAACCAGTTGCTCACTGGTCCTCTCTCTCTTCCGTCTTTCAATCATCCTAAAAGAATCATCCTAAAAGAAGTTAAAAAGGTGAGGCTTCTATTTGGTTTTTTCATATTTGAGCTGAGAGAAACCTGTTTTTGTTTTCTAATTCTCAGTAGAAAGGATACTCTCCTTCATTTTGAATTAGAGCTTGACTCTGGCAGTCTGGGGCACCTAAGTTCATATTGATTAATTCAAGAGAAATATAGGACCAGAGGACAGAGAGGAGGGAGACTCAAGAATTGCCAGAAAGAAAGTAAAAACAGACGCTTGAATGGTTAGAAGGGACTCAAGAAAACCTGAGGGCCCAGGTGATGCTTGAAATGGGTGTGAGGTTGGAATTGTCAGGAAATCCTATCTTCTTTCCTCTTCCTGGAATGACCAAGCTGAACCTCCTGCTGTCTGAGCCATGGTTTGGGGGAGGACCAAAAGGAGGAGGATAGTCTCCTTCCATCAGATCGTTCCAGACTTCCCAGTGTGCTAACATGACATGGAGCAAAACCACACCGAACACCTAGTTGACGTTTAAGAGCCTTGGCTTTTTATTTAATCATCAGAAAAACCAAGGCTTGTAGGTGCTGGTAAAATGCCAGATAAATTATTCAGAAACAAGTGTCTGAGATTGGACCAAATGTTGTCTCATTAGCATGCAGTGTCCATGCGAGAGTCTGGTTAGAAATGCCACAGAGACTGCAGGAGGACTTGATGGAAGAAAACTAACAATACATATGATAATGAAATAAAATGTGACTTTCCCTATATTAATAATACAGGAAAAATCAAAATAAAATTAATTTCCCCTACACTATGCTGTGAAATCTCATACAAACAGAATGCTGTCTTCCCCGACAGAGGCTACTCTCCAGAATGGTCCCCTGACCCAGGTCTTATTCTGAAATATGCAACACAATTATTTTACTAGTCTTATACATCTGTACCCATAAACTTGGCCTTCTTTCCTCTTACAATCCATTGATCCTAAGGCCAACCCTCCTGCTTATGTTCAGCTCTCAACTCCTCTGCCTACTCCAGGACTTTGCTCCTGAACTTTTCTTTTTTTGCACCATTAAATTACCATCTCTGCTAAGTTATTCCCACCTCCATGCACTCTAATGTATTTTCTATGCTAAAAAAAAATCTCTAGGCTCTTCAGCAGCTCACTTTTTTTTCCCCTTTATAATACAATTCCTAAAAAGCATTGTCTGGCCTCATTTTTTTCTCTACTCCATCAGTTTCCTTTCAGTCTTGAATTTATTCAAATCAGGTTTCTGTCTTCATTATTCCACTTACATTTCTGTAGGTAAATTTGGGGGTGACTATCCTAAGTCTATTTTATCAGATTTCCTCCTTTTTCCCCTCTGAACATTGCAGTGCCCTACTCTTCAGCTGTTGGGATTTTTTTCTCCCTCCCATAGCAGTCTCCTCTAAGTCTCATGGCTTTTTTTTTTTTAAAGATTTTATTTATGCATGCAAGAACTGGGGTACAGACCAGGCCAGAGGTGGGTGGATGAGAGGGCTCACCAGAGATAGAGTAAGGGAACAGAACAGGCAGACTGACTGAAATACACTGCTGAGGGGAGCAGTGGGCGAGTCAGGAGAGGTCTGTTGCACCATGTGAGTATGTCCATGGCCGGGTATCAAACTTGTATTGCAGTGGCTGCGGATAGCTTTATAGTGCAGCGTCTTAACCCCTTGCGCCACCAGGAAGGCCCCTAGTCTCGTGGATTTTTATACTATCTTTATGACTCTCAAATCCTATCTCACGTCTCCTTTGAGGTCCAGTCTCCATTTCCCTCTTGGATATTAAATAGATACCTTAAACCACATACAAAACTCTGCATTCCCAATTCTCTCTCACCCAAATTGCTTCTCCTAGTCTTCTTCAGAGCAAAACACCTAAAAATCATGGTTTTTCTTCTCTCACTCTCATAGGATACATCCCCTTCATCAACAAGTCCTGTCAGCTGCACCATCAAGACACATTCCACTTCAGCATACTGCTTGCCACCTGCATCATCACCTCCAACTACCCTCAGCTCTCACATTGGTTCACTGATAATAACAACATACAGTTCATTGAGTTCCTGTAACAGACCAGCTAGTATCTGAGACATTTTACAGATATAATTATTAATCCTAGCATAGATTATTAGCTCCTGTTTACAAATGAAGAAACTGAGGTTAAGAGAGGTTAGGTAACTTGCCCAAAGTGGCAGAACTAGGCAGGAGTAGTAGATCTGGGGTTCACATTCAGGTGTGCCTGGTTTTGAAGTCTAAACTCTTTCCACTGCATTTTGCTACTTTGTGACCAGAATGTACCAGTGTGAACTTACTGCCTCAGAAAAATACCACCTTTTTTAGGGGATGTTTGTAGAGTGTGTGTGTATATGTGCGTGCGCGCGTGTGCGCACGCATGCATGTCCTGACCCTCATTATAAAGGTACTTATAGCTTTTGAAAGAAGTTGATGAAGAAATGGATCCTGTTTGTAAAACTCCTTGACTCTCCTTAAGAAAACTGTGGGGTTGGGGGAGGGAGGGTACAACATCCTCCCACCTGAGTGGAGGAGCCTGTGGAGCTGGGGGAACAAGCCCCAGGGAAAGACTGCAGTGAAGGCTCTCTCTTTTGTCTCCTAATGTTAATAGTTCTGGATTCAAAATCTTTTCTCTTTGACTGGACCCAGAGATAATAAAGCAAAAAACGTACAGCATATAATTTGGCATTTTACTGGTATGGTAGGCTCACAAAAATTTTGTTCTCCCTGACAAGGCTCAGATAATCCTATCAAAATAAATCTCTGAAAGAAAAAAGCTTTCTTTTAAGTCTATGAGAAGCCTTTTCAAGAACAAAAATAACACTTAAAATGGATTTTCTGTGTATCTTCTTTTTCTTCTCTTTTTCAGAAGAAATTCTGTACTTTCTGATAATAGAAAATAAAAAAATGTCAGTAGGGGAAATGTCAAAATTTGGCATGCCATAGAGAATGGAAATTTCCTCCAACACTACTTTGAATTTTAAAGAGTTTTGGGTGCAGGTTGCACAGGAGTCATATTTCCACATCTACATGTGTCCTTTGCCCATGTCTGTGATGGCTTCACAGTGCAAGCACTCATTCGCCAAGCCTTGACTGGGAACATAACTGTATTTTGTTTTAGTTATGGTTCTCCAGAGAAATAGAACCAATAGTTCTGTGTGTGTGTGTACACACATGTTACATATATAACATATATGTATCATATCATATGAGATTTATTTGTGTTTATATGTAGAGAACAGAGAGAGAAAAAATATAGATATATAGAAGCAGAGTAATAGGATTTGGCTTAAGGGGTTATGAAGGCCAAGAAGTCCCACACTCAGCCATCTGCATACTGGAGAGCTTGGAAAACTGATGTAATTTAGTGCAGTCTAAAGGCCTGAGAACTATGAGAACCAGTCCTAATCTAAGTCCAAAAACCCAAGAATCATTGGGGGTGGTGTGGGGTCAATGGTGTAAGTCCTAGTCCAAGTCTAAAGGTCAAGAACCAGGAATTCTGATGTCCAAGGGAAAAGGAAATAGATGTCGCAGCTCAGGTCTATAGCAAATTTGCCCTTCCTCTGACTTTTTATTCCATTTAGGCCCTCGTGGCTTTAATGATGCCCACCTGCATTGGAAGGGTCATACTTCTTTATTTAGCCTACCAATTCAAATGCTGATATCTTTAGGAAACACACTTATGGACACATCCAGAAATAACGTTAGCTCTCTGGGTGCTCCTTACCCCAGTCAAGTTGACACATAAAAATAACCATCACAACAAGTATCTCAAGAGTCAAGTATTCACTCTCAAGGGTGAGGAGACAAACCGAATTTTTTATGCATTTCGGTAAAGCCAGACTTACCATGTATTCAACATCATGCAAGGTGGCATGAAGGGTAGAGTGGGGAAGAGGAAGAGAGAAAAAACTCAATTTTAAGAGTCTCTTGTGGGCCAAATAACTTACACTTCACATATAGTTTCATAATATATAGGGTAAAAATTATTCTTCATGATTGGTGGATAAATGAGGCTCCAAAAGATAAGTACCTCACTCAAGCTAGGGAATGGAAGAACTAGACTTGCCTGATACTGAAAATACATGCCCTACCTATTGTACTATGTTGGCACACAATTAAAGTTGAGAATTCCTTCCAAATATACAGCTTAAGACAAAATGCCAAAAATGAATTCTAAAGAAATTTAGAAAAGAGGAAGAGCTAAAAGTCTTTGGAAAAGTCACAGAGGTGGCAAGGTAGCAAGTGGGCCTTAAAATAGGTAGAGTTTTTAAGAGTAGAAATGAATGTCATAGCAGGTGAGGGGAATTAGAATCTTGGAACCAGAATGAGCTAAGAAATAGAAGGGAGTGACAGTGGCATGTGGGCACTGAATAGATGATTGCTCTTGCTTTTGCTAAGTGTGTACTGAAAGGAGTTAGGGCCATGGAGGTGTTAGGGTCATATTGTAGGGCATTTTCAAAGCCAGGTAGAGTTATAAATAGAGATATATGGGGAAGACAGGATATGTGCCTTCTAGAGAGAGACATTTTGTAATTTAACAGAAACATAGTGAAACTCAGTGTATGTGCATCCCCAACATAAAACAAATTACAATTTTGCTCTGTAGTGTATTAAAAATTAAATTTGTTGGGCCTCCCCTCGTGGCGCAGCAGTTGAGCACTGGGCTGCAAAGCTGCCTGCAGCCTCTGCAGCACCAGTTCGATCCCCGGCCGCCGGCGAGGGTCCCACATGGCGCTGAGATCTCTCCTGCCACCCGCTGCTCCCCTCAGCAGTGTATTTCGTCAGTCTGCCTGTTCTGTTCCCCGCTCTGGTGAATTCTCTCACCCTCCCGCGCTTCTGACTGTACCCAGTTCTTGTATAAATAAATAAATAAATCTTTAAAAAAATTAAATTTGCTCCTCAGATAGAAAATAAAATACAACTATGACAGTGTCAACATCGATGCTCATAAGGACCTTCAATTTACCACCATCAATGTTTCAAGAATTATGAGAAACAGTGGTGTCTACAGA